GAGCTTACTCCAGGTCTCCCATGAGGGTTCAGGGTCCCAAGGACTTGGGCCATCTTGTACTGCTTTCTCAGGCCACAGCAGAGAGCTAGATCAGAAGTGGAGCAGCCGGGCCTCAAACTGGCACCCACACAGGAGGCTGGCACTGCAGGCGGCAGCTTTACCTGCTACGCCACAGTGCTGGCCCCAACCATATCTTCTTTCTACAGCCCTACTTCCTTGTTTTGAAGGATCTGTCAAACCCTAATTATTCATAATTAATTCTCCAAAGGGATAACAGCATTAATAATTTTGTTTTTTCATCTAAAATGTACAACCTGTGCTTTTTTAACCCATATAGCCTTATCCCAACTAAATGTACAATTTCCATTCAGTTCATTCAAATACAGTCTGTTTTGATTATGGGGATACAATAAGCCACACTGCAGATTATCCATATTAGAAATAATGTGAGGCGGGGGCTGGCATTGTAGCATAGAGGGTAAAGCTGCCACCTCTGACATCCGCATCTTATATAGGCACCTGTTGATGTCCCAGATGTTCCACTTCCAATCCAGCTCGCAGCAAATGGCCTGGGAAAAGTAGTGCAAGATGGCCCAAGCATTTGGGCCTCTGTCACCTACACAGCAGACCCACAACAGATCCGCAACAGCCAGAGCTGGGCCAACCTGAAGCCAGGAGTTTCCTCCGGGTCTCCCACACCAGTGTAGGAGCCCAAGTACTTGTCCATCTTCCATTACTTCCCCAGGCAGCTAGCACAGAGTTGGACTGGAAGTGGAGCAGCTAGGACACAAATTGGTGACACAAACCACAGGCAGAGGTTTAACCTACTAAGCCACAAACCTAGCCCCATAAATAAATCTTTGAAAAAAAGAAAGAAAAAGAAATGGAGAAATCAGCAAGTGAGCATACAGCATGGGCCTTAATGCTAACCTAAAAGCCAAAGATAAAAGACAAGGAAAATAACTTGGACAATTTTAAAAGAGCCTCTTACCACTCAATTTATGTAATGGTTAATGTTACTAAAACATTGCACAGACATTATTTTTAACTGTTCATATGACATTTTTAGAACACTTCATGTGATTTTATTTCTTTACTTATTTGAGAGAGAGTACTCCCATCCACTGGTTTACTCCCCAAATACCAACAACAGCCAGGGTTTGGCCAGCTGGAAACTCACCAAGTTTCCCTCATAGGTGGCAAAACTCCAATTATTTGAGCCATCACTGCTACCCCTGGGATTCTGCATTAACATGAAGCTGGATTCAGGAGCCACAACAAGGACTCAAATCCAGGAACACCAATGTGGGAAGCAAGTATCTTAACCACTAGACTGAATGACTAACCTTTAAAATATTTTTGAGAAAACATTTACACCCATGATATGCTAATACTTTCTTCCCAAACTCACCATTATCCCAGAAATAAAGAATTAATGCTATCAAAAGCAGCCCAAAGGCCCTCCCTGCGACACTCTTCTTCCCTCTCTGTTCCTTCAAGCCTCCACTGTCTCACTTGCCACAACTCTGTTTCCCACATTCTAGTACATACACTGTACGTGTTGCCATTCTAGTAATTTGTCTATGTTGAAAGAAATGTCTCCATTTGGCTGTATAAGCCCCACTCCTTAGATCAGTGCTGACAATGAGACAAAAATTTCAGCAGTCTGAGTTAAGAAGGGAGTTGAGAGTGCCTCAGCAGCTTAGGCCACAGCTGGCATCACTATCAGAGTGCCAACTGGTGTCCCAGTTACTCCACTTCCAGTCCACTTCCCCACTAATATGCCAGGAAGATGGCAGAAGATGGCCCAAATGCTTGGGTCCCTGCTGCCCATGATACTGGGGTGGAGCTCCTAGCTCCTGGCTTCAGCCTAGCCTAAATGTGGTTGTTGCCCCTATGGTGGGGGTGAACCAGTGGGTAGAGGATCTCTCTTTCTCTCTCTCTTTCTCCCCCACTCACCCCCGGCCACCCCCCTGCCTGTCACTCTGCTGTTCAAATAAATAAATCTTATAATGCTTAATTTTTCAACTGCCCTTACTAGCCAAATAAGAAGTCAGTAACCTAATCAACCTAAATATTAGGGTAAAAAATATAGAATACTTGGGGCCAGTGCTGTGGGTAAAGCCACTGCCTGCAGTGCCAACATCCCATATGAGTGCCAGTTCGAGACCTGGCTGCTCCACTTCTGATCCAGCTCTCTGCTATGGCCTGCGATAGCAGAAGACAGCCCAAGTCCTTGGGCCCCTCCCCCAGCATGGGAGACCCAGAAGAAGCTCCTGGATTGGCACAGCTCCAGCTGTTGCAGCCAATTGCGGAGTGAACCAGCGGATGGAAGACCTCTCTCTCTCTCTGCCTCTCCTTCTCTCTGTGTAACTCTGACTTTCAAATAAATAAATCTTTAAAAAATTAAAAAAAAAACAAAGAAAATATATACAATACTAAGAAAGGAACAACCCACTCAACCCCTAAAACCTACATATTAGGATAACAAATACACAACATATCAACCACGTAGTTGTTGAAATACAGGACACAGGTAGGAGATGAGAAATGAAAAATCTGCCAAGTCAAAAGGAAATAGACATTTCTACACAGAAAGGTAACTGAAATTTAGAAATTCTGAGACTGTTCCAGCAAGCACATGTAAGTATATTAAACCTTTGTAAATTTCAATCTCTTATTCAGAAATGTGTACAAAGTATTGACGTTTTATTTTTCTGAAAGGCAGAGGCAAACAAACAACAAGTTTCTATTCATTGGTTCAGTCCCCCAAATACCAGCAACAGGCAGGGCTGAGCAAGGGCAAAGCTCAAATTTTAACAATACTATGAAAAATGTATTGAACATTAATTTTCTCTCTAAATCATAAATTCATAATTAAAAGGCAGCATATTTATAAGATTGTTAACAGCATGTACTGTAGAGTCAGTCAGCCGGAATCCCAGTTCTGTGTTAGCTATGTGAAACTGCCTATGTGACTTTCTTTGTTTGTTTCCTTAAAGGTTGTTGAGAATATTAACTAAGTTATTTAAAGCCCGAGGAACAATACTTGGCACTTAATAAGTGATTCAAAAGTAGTCATAAATTCTCCAACGAGAAATGATGCTGAAGTAAGGACTAAAGATTATAAAAATTGTAGGATTAGAAATAGTTGATATTATACTTCCATAAAACTCTTAAAATGTTAAATACAACCATTTTTATGTACAGACAAGCATATGAAGTTATGTGTGACACTTCTAAGTGTTTGCACTTACAGCAGGAAATACTATATGAGGGAAAAAATATGAATCCTGCTAGGAGATCCTCATTAACAGAACTCCCAATTGTTTGCGAATGTGCCTCCAAAGTTGAGGAATGCACAACTGAGCTGGGCTGCAGTTGAGTGTGGTAGAGCATACACCCAGTACTTCCCACAAAATACCAAGGAAACAAACTTTCACCTCGGCAGGCCCTTCACAGACCCATGATTCCTAGCTCATATGCTGATAAAACAAGTTACTCTCAGCTGAGCAAACCTTCCAGCTAGAGTTACACCAAGCTTCTATGAGATGTCACAGGCCACGTGATGCAGGCACCACACAGCACGTGGAATTTGGATTCTTCCTAACCCCTCCCCTGGAATCCTCACCTGCTTACTCTGCTGCACAGATCTCCCTAAGCAAGGGCCCTCAGTACAGCCTGCCATCTGCCCACTCTGCCAAGCCGCCTGTACTAAGAGGTGAATTACTAAGAGGAACGTGTTCATGGGTGCATATATCACTTTATTTCTTAACCCAGACGTTAGCTGCACCTTTGCTACTCATGGATGGTTCCCTTTCCAGGCGCCTATCAGAATGTGGAACATCAAGCTGTAGCATACACCTGCATCAGATTTTGCACTTTCTACCAGAGTGATTCCTATGCACATTAAGGCTCCAGCACTGCTCCATGTGACACTACTGCAGACAGCAGTAAAATTTTAAAATGCTCATTTACATTTGAATTCAGATATGGAATGAAAATAACCAAGCCGTGGAACTGGAGAAGCCCAAGGAGAAATAATCAATATTTAATTTTTGGCCTCTAATCTCAAAAGTATTCTGATGTTTATTTTTCAGCAATACCTATGTTTAATGCTTCCTGCTTTAAGTATTTTGCACATCAGTTCACTATTAATAGTCTTATTAGGACGATATTTTTACTTAAAAAGAAAATGTGTCTTGGCATTCCAGCTCACTCTGGCCCAAACAAGTGCAATCTGCAGGTTAAAATTTGGGGATTTAGTCCAGTTCCGAGTGCACAAAAGAAACTCTTCGCAGATAATCATTGTTTTATAAAAACGAAAACAATGTAAACTTAAAATACAGCTCGCATGGCTCAACCGAGAGTACTTAACAATACTGAACTTCTGTGTTTTCCCAGGAAAAGGGGGAGGGGCGGGGTGAGTCAACTTTGATCCTTTGCAAAGTTCTCCTCAAAGGCCTCAACTTGCACGTTCTCGCAGCTGAACCAACTGGAGTGGAAGAAAAGTGAGAGAAAGCCTTCCCTCTCCTGAAGGTTTAAGGATTCCGGGTCCTTTTCGCTTCCGGCCTGTGCAGGAAGCGCGCGGCCGGGGGCCCGAAAAAGAACGGGAAATCTACAAGTAGGAAGTTGAGAGCCGCAGTCCGGGCACCGGGCTCTGCGCTCCGGCTGCAGCCGGCCCTCCAGCCCAGGCCCCGGCCGCCCAGGGCCCGCAGGCGGGCTGGCGGGCAGCAGCCGCTTCCCCCGGCCCGCCCTCCCGCCGCCCAGCCCCGCAGCTCCCGGGCGGACCCCGGTCCGCGGCGGCAGCGGCCTCGGGCCTTCCGGCGTGGCGGCTGCGGGGCCGCACCGCGGCGCGAGGGGACGAGCAACCTGTCCTGAGCGACTGAGGGGAGGCCGGGCGGGAGCCACTGCACGTGGGGGCGCACTGCAGGAAGTCGGGGCGCCCACGGGGCTTGGGCTTTTCGACGATCATCGTCATCATCATCATTTTGTGTTACCTGTGGCGCAGAAGGGCTCCCCAGCTCCTATTCCCTGAATTCTCCTCCTCCTCCTCCCCTCTTCTCCCTCAGTCTGCTGTGCGCTCGCGGAACCGGCCGGGCCCGGCCCGACCTGAGAGAGAACAGGGCGGGAGGGGGCGGCGGCGGTGACCAACGGCCACGTGACCACGCTCGCGCCGTAACGGCGGTCGCCTCCCGCCGCGCGCCCCGCCAGCGCTCCACCTCTAATAACCCCGCGGGCCGCGCGCTCGCGCGCCGGGACGCTCGTGCGCAGGCGCCCGCCTGAGCCTGGAGACTGCGCGGCCGCGCGTCGCGCCTGCTCCGGAGGCCGGGTCTCCGCGGCCGGGCTCCGTCGCTGAGCCAGTCGCGGCCGCGCGCATGCGCGCGAGGGCCCCCTCGCTGCTGATGGGGTCCCTGCCGGCGCACGGCTGCAGGCTGGAGACCCGGTCCTGAATGTTAGAGCTGCGTACCCACCCTCCCTATCCAGTTCCGGACTGCGAAGAAAGGGGGAAATGCAGACCTGGGACCGTGCCGGAATGTACGATTTCCTGGTCTGGGGCACACTGCCTTCCGTTCGAAGTTTGTGCGGCGGTGTAGACTTCCGGCTCGGCTCCCTCATTCGCTTTCCTTGTGAAACTTTGCTTGGTGGAGTCACTAGCGCCTTGTGCAGTGTGATCCACGGGGAAATAAAAGTTAGGAAAGCCCCTTGTTACGAACCCACGAACAAGCCTGGCTTTTCATCTTTGCCCTCCAGCCAAGGCCAGTCTGTCCAGCGCAGCAGGCACTGCCGGGCCTGATGGCCGGCCGCAGCACAGGCCGTGGCCCAGCCCCCGCTGGCCCGCCCTCGCCTCTGCTTGACCGTGATTTAAGATTCCGTTGAACCCAACACGCGGGATGCTGGTGTTCATTTCCCCAGTAGGAAACCCGTGAATGGTGATGCTAATTAGAGTGGTAAATGCTTCACCTAGTAAAAAGGATTTATGGCCTTTCATTGGTCGGTCTTACAAAGAGTGCCGAAGGAAACTGATGTTGGATCCAGCAAAAGCACACTAAGGCCGAGAAAGGTCAAAAGTTAGCAAGCTTCGAAGGAAGGTGCCTGTGTGCCTTTGTTCATGAACACATGTTCTTCGAATGCCGCCTTGCTGTTGCAGAAGCCGAGCTGACCGGATTTAACCAGAGCTATTAAGTAAAGTGTAAACGCCTCCTCGTTGGGAGTTCTGCTGTGTTAGACCAGTTACCAGTATTGTGGGAGTGGTGAAGGAGATGAGGATCAAGAAACAAAGGCGTAGGTATGTGGCGCAGCAGGTTAAGTCACTGCTTGGGAGGCGCACATCCTGTATCAGAATTGGCGGTTCAAGTCAGCTGCTGCGCCTCCGATCCAGCTCCTGGCTAACGAGCACCCAAGTGGGCAAGAAGTGATGGCTCATGTCCTTGAATCCCTGTCACCCAGGTGGGTGGAGTTCTAGGCACCTAGCTACAGCCTGGCCCAGATCCTGACTGTTGCCACCGTTTGGAAAGTGAACCAACGGAGATGCAAGATCCCTTTCAAATCAAATTTAAAAAAAAAAAAAAAAAAGGAGGAAGGGTTGGGAGAAGGACCAGCCAACAACAAAATCCTAGAAAATGTTGAGCTAATATAGATGAGGAAACAGTAACAGATATCCCTAACTTGATAGTTTGCCTTATGATTTTCCAAGTTTCTGATGATGCAAAACCCATTGTCATCCAAATTTGGGGGTTTTACCTTTGCCCAGGCTAGTGATCCGATGCCAGGCAGCCCCAGCTAGCCATGCTGTCAGGAGGGGAAACAACTCTACAGGGTAAGTAATGGCCTTTCCTCTCCAGCTCCCAAAGCGCTTCTCACCGTTTCCCTGCTAGACGAGTGAGGGTTAGTCAGGTTTTGTCACTTTGGAGGAAGAGTCCCGCAGACAACCAGATTACGGTAGAGGTTTGGCTTGTTAGGCAGGGACAGGTGTTGCCCAGTAGTTACAGTGCCGGTTAAGATGCCTGCATCCCATGGTGGAGTACCTGGGTTCAGCTGCAGGCTCCAGCTCCTGATTTCAGCTTCCTGCAAATGCAGACCTTGGGAGGCAGCAGATGGTAGCTCAAGTAATTGGATTCCTGCCACCCATATGGGAAACCTGGATTGAATTCCTGGCTCCTGGTTTCTGGCTTTAGCCTGACCCAGCCTTGGGTCTTATGACTATCTGGGGAGTGTACTAGTGGATAGAAGTGCTCTCTCTCTCTCTCCATCTCAGGTTACAAATTATTAGTTATGGCCAGCGCCATGGCTCACTAGGCTAATCCTTTGCCTGCGGCAGATTCTGTCCCGGTTGCTCCTCTTCCAGTCCAGCTCTCTGCTGTGGCCGGGGAGTGCAGTGTAGGATGGCCCAGGCCCTTGGGCCCTGCACCTGCATGGGAGACCAGGAGGAAGCACCTGGCTCCTGGCTTTGGATCTGCGCAGCACCAGCCATAGCAGCCACTTAGGGGGTGAACCAACGGAAGGAAGATCTTTGTCTCTCTCTCTCTCACTGTCTAACTCTGCCTGTCAAAAAAAAAAAAGTTATAAGTTGTCAGACACAAAGTAAGGTGATGTGGGACACCAGCCCAGTTATCTGCCATCACCTGCACCCTGTTGATTCTATAGTGGGAAGCCCAAACGGTCTCATAGAGAGCCAACTGCAATGACTCTGGCCTATAGATCACAAATATAGCTGTAGGAATCCAGTTTCTGTCTGCTTCTCACATCGCTACTCCTCAAGAGACAGCCTGAGGGTGTCTGTTAGCCACAGTCGATACAGTACACCCTGGAAGCAGAAAATGGTTTGCAACCTAAGCTAGGACAAAGAAACTAATAAAGCTGATGATGAATAACTCCGTAAAATATAAACATCTTATAAAAAGTTATTTGGAGTTAGGCTGTTTATAGCAGTTCATAGAAAAATTCTATTCTATTTGCGCCAACATCAACATTCTAAGGAAGATAACGGTTGTAACACTTGGTTTTGCAGCTACCTGTGGGCTTGTTGATTCTCTGCTTCCACATCTATGTGCATTCTGTGTCCTGGGACACGGCAGAAAGTGAAGCACAGGAAATACAAGTGGCAAAGGTGAACACTGAGGTGGCAAGCCTCATCGAGGACTGGCTCTCTCCTAGGCCTCTGTGTGGACAGAGTCTGACTCACTCTGGCCAGGCCACTGTCCACATCTTTTGTGGCTCTTTTATTCTCCACTCCAATTAGTGTGCCCATGTAAATGTCCACCATCAGACCCTGAAACTCCCCTGCTGGCCTAAACTAACATGACAAGATGCACATTGGCATTGGCCAGTGGGAAGTGAAGACGTGAAAGTAAGTATGGGCATGTAGAACTGGCATCAAAAATCATCTACTCCCATTTTTCCATGAACTTTTTGAAATCTCAATTTACAATAGAAGGAATCTTAATAAAGGGTCTGAGTTACACAGGCAATAGAAGAGATAAAAGCCAAACAAGCAATGAGAAAGTTACTTGGAGCATCACCATTGACTCCCAAAGTCAATGCATTTCCTGCATTAGCAGGAAGCTGGCATTGGGATCCAGAGCCAGCTATCAAACCCAGGTACTCGGATTTATGCAGGCATCGAAACCACTAGGCCAAATATCCACTCCCCCATTATGTTTTTCATTATTACCAGGGCAACAGCTGTGCTCAAAGTTGCCCTTAAAGATTTTGGACAGTGAGAGATATCAAGAGACACTGTAGACTAAGGTTAAGTGCATAGACTCAGGAGTAGAATTGCCCAAATTCAAATCCCAGCTGCCCTTGCCCGTTAATGATAAAACTTGTAGTCATTTAAGTTACTCAGCCTCTGTGCTTCCATTCCATCTGTAGGGTGGAGATAATAAGTCCTTTATTCAGTTTTGTGAGCATTAAATAAGATCATCTGTGGTAAAGTATTTAGCACACAGTTACTATTCAGTAAATAAATATTATTATCTTGAAGTCTTGATCAGAAAAGGCAGTCTGCAGCAAGAGCAAATTATTGTAGATGTAATAGCAATAATTGAAATTCAATGTTTTCAAACACAAAATAGCAAATTGTAGACTTTACTTTGAATATCAAAGACAAAATTTATTTTTGCTGTACTGCCCAAGCATCTCCTGTGGTATGCTCACTAGTATGCCTAACTGGCATGGCAATAAAAATAATGTCTTAACTTCTATGCTGAAAGCAGTATATCTCAAAACATTATCTTAAGAGGAGAAAGCTCTTTTGCAAGTGAGATTATCAGCCTTGATTTTCAGCAGTTTTGTGGAAGGACAATGGAGTCATGATCACAGTTAAGTATGTAAAGCCATTTCCTTGAAGCGTTTGTTCTCTATGATAGCAATTATTTCCATTGGATTTCTTATTCTTGGCCAGGTATGTACAGATGGCACTCTAATAAACATTTTTCAGCAGTGATTTTATAGTATCTTTATACCATTGGAGATTTTTTTTTCCCAGGTACAGACTATAAATGTTGTGCCAATAAAAACATAAATAAACAAAGTATCTTTTACAGTTAGTTCAGATGCCTGTTACAGTGTCTGTCACATTGTGTTATGAGCAGCTACTTAAATGTCTGACATTCCCTAGAATATGAGCTCCTCAAGGGCAAGTAGTATGCCTGATTCATCTTTGTTCATCTTTCATCGTTGTTTTAAGAAGTGCAAGCCGGCGCCGTGGCTCAATAGGCTAATCCTCCACCTTGCGGCGCCGGCACACCGGGTTCTAGTCCCGGTTGGGGCGCTGGATTCTGTCCCGGTTGCCCCTCTTCCAGGCCAGCTCTCTGCTATGGCCAGGGAGTGCAGTGGAGGATGGCCCAGGTGCTTGGGCCCTGCACCCCATGGGAGACCAGGAAAAGCACCTGGATCCTGGCTCCTGCCATCGGATCAGCACGGTGCGCCGGCTGCAGCGGCGGCCATTGGAGGGTGAACCAACGGCAAAGGAAAACCTTTCTCTCACTGTCCACTCTGCCTGTCAAAAATAAAAAAAAAAAAAAAAATTAAAAAGAAGTGCCTTGCCTTTGCCGAAATTATCAACTTGCTACATGGTTGAACAGTGTTTTTATTTATCTGCTAACATACAAAATTACCTCAAATTTAGACTAAAAACAGCACATACTTATAAATTCAGTTTTTGCAGAGCTAGAGTTTGTACCTGGCTAACCTAGGTTTTTTGCTTCAGGGTCTCCCCATGTGTTTGCAGT